CAGCCACTTAAATCTTCTCAAAGCCCCCTTGTACGGCTAGGCTTCCGTCTCTGGTTCTTTTAGCCATCCAATAACCAATTTGGAATCACCTTCAATCATTAAATGCTCCACTGCCAACTCTCTTGCATATTCTGCTCCTTGTAACACAGCTTGGAGTTCTACATTTACAGAGTTCTCCCCACCCTATAGGACCAGAAAATAGAGCTACAATCTGACCCTCATCATTTCTGAAGACTCCCCCTATTCCAGATGGCCCTAGGTTGCCCAAACTACTGCCATCAAAATTTAGTTTAATGACACCTGCATTAGGAGGCTTCCAATCCACCACCGGCTTGCTTCTGATTGCAGAACTTTTAGTTAGTTGTTCCCAATTTCTCCTTATGTCATCGAAAGTGTAGGTGGAAAACAGATCCAAGGATTTTACCCAACTTATGGCCCTGCATAAGATACTTTCTAACACACATGTTTGATCCCTCTCCTTGTCATTAAAGATTCTAGCATTTCGTTCCTCCCACACAGTCCACACCAAAGCAGCTCTAACACACCTCCACAAAACTCTTCCTCATCTCTTTGGCCACCTGAAAGTTGTAGGATAAAAAAGATTGCAAATCTACACCGGTTCTGTCCACCTGCACCCAAAAAGATCAAAAAGCTTTTCCCAAAGGCCTACAACAAAAGGACAAGTGATTAGTATATAGTATCAACTTTCCTTGTTAACTTTGCATAGGGTGCACCAGTTAGGAGAGATACAAAGACTAGGTCTTCTTTTTTGCAAAACATCCAAAGTGTTGATTTTCCCGAGGGAGACTTCCCAACAAAGGGCTCCAACTTTAGGAGGGACAGGTTTGGACCAAACTTCCTTGTTATGAAAAGGTTGAGGCAATGGAGAGGAGCACAAGGAAGCAAAGGAGGCACAAAACAGGAAGAATACTATGAATAACCTTCCATGGGGATTTCAGTGTAGCATGCCGAGATACACCAGCATCCCATCCATTGTCTGCAACACCATGCACACTCCTTACCACTTTATGCCAAAGTCTCCCTTTCTAGAGGTCACCTCCATAGCCATTTACCTAATAATGTTGTATTTTTCTTCCATAGATTGCCTAATCTCAATCCCCTTGCTCCTTCCTCCTACACACTATTTCCCACCTAACCACATGATCCTTCCTCCCTTCCCCTGACTCCCACAAGAAATCCCTCATGACTTTCTCTACCTTCAAAATCACCTTTTGTGGCATTCTAAAGACAGATAGAAGGTAAGTTGGCAAGTTCGCAAGAGTAGCTCTAATTAAAGTGATCCGACCTCCATGGGAAATGTAGTTTC